TGCATTATTTCCAGATAAAGAGTCAGGACTGTTTCAGAACAGTTGAGGTAACCGACGGTGTGTCGGTCTGAGGTAATCAAGATGACTAAAGGCAGTCACGTTGCAAGGATTTTGAGGTTTTGTATGAGATGCGAGATATTTGGAGTTGCTTGGTCTCCATCAAGAAGATCATTGAATGACTACGAGGTTCATTTAAAGAGTCGATTTTGATGTACCTGGTGCAACAGTTTGTGGAATAGATTGTTGGTGTACCAAAATGGTGATGGTTCGAGCCCTAAGTGGGGGAGAACCGAGTATTTTATTGAGAGGATCAGAGATTTGTTCAAGAGCGGTTAGAGAACTGGATATAAAGACCTGCGGTAAGGATCATGAGAACATGGTTATTGGTGGCCGAGGCGAGGTGCAAGGCGGGATGAAGCATGGTATACGTGTTCGGAAAGGGATGAGTGTCTCCAAGGCAGGTGGCCGTTGTTCAGAGACCTTGTGGTAGTTAATAATTCTTCGAGGTTATAATGGTGAATTTGAGGTAGTTGGCTCGTAAGGATGGTTTCGGCAGTTGAAAATTTATGGTTCATTGTAAGGGTTGTTATACGCACTTGGGGAAGGTCAGAAGTTGATTGGGAAACCAACTTCGTGGTCTTCATGAGTATTTTTGCATGAGTGTTGAGAAATGGAGGAGGGAGTTTTGGATCGTCGCCAACGTGTTCTGAGTCATTAACGATTCCTCTGTGTTTCAAATTGGGAGTTGGGATATTCTGAAGTTTCGAGTTGTATGACAGGAATATCAGTTGTGAGAATTCTGATAGGATACATTGCGGGATCATGGTATGATACGGTAAGTATGAGATCAGTGGTTGAGGTAAGATATCATGAGATTCTGTGATGGTGTATCAAGGTATCCGAGTAGGATGCCTTGAATTTCGGATTATTTTGAGACTTTAACTATAAGTTGGCTAGTGGAGTATCAAGTGACTATGGTTCCAACGGGGGCCTTTCAGCTAAGTGTCATCGAACGAGAGCCTCCAAGAATGAGAATTGCAACGAGAAAGGTGTTTGGTCACGACAGTTGTCGTCAGGAGTGGTGATGCTTAACCTAGGTGGTTGGGTGTACCTATCTATGTTGGACCGTAGAGTATTCATCAGTGAACTCAGTGGGGTTATAACTCGAGGATGAGATTATAGGGTAATAAGAGAGTGAGTGGATCTGAGTGGGAGTAACCACTTGGGATTGTTAGGGGAAAACCATGAAGTGAGCCCATCACCAGTCAGCGAGAGGGTGTTGTGATACTGCAGGGAGCCGTAGTATTCATCAGTAAGCGATAGGGTGTTGTGATACTGCACGGAGCTGTAGTATTCACCAGTCAGCCAGGGAGTGTTGTGATACTGCGGGGAGCCGTAGTATTCACCAGTTAGCGAGAGAAGTGTTGTGATATTGCGAGGGACCGTAGCATTCATGTGTCAGTGAGAGAATGTCGTAGGTCTACGGGGAGCCGTATTATTCGCTAGTCAGAACATGACGCAGAAGAGTTTTAGGCTTCAGTAGCCTCATTATCTGAGTTTTGGGAACCTGGTGGTCAGACCACGGGCGAGACTGGGGTCTCCTTAATGATCGGGAATCATTATATTCTGAGTTAAGGTGTGATTATCATAATCAGAAGGAAATTGGAGAAGAGATGTACGCATGAGTTCGGGTCATGGGTCATGAGTCGAGTGCCTCATTGGGACGAGTGATTCCAATTCTGTGTCGGACCAGACTCTTGAGTTTGAGTTTGGCTTTAGTGGTGTATTGAGTGGGCAAAAAGAGATTCCGGATTCAGAGATGGGTTCCATTTGAGGGGTTTTGGGTGTCTTTTGATGTTTTAGACCTGTGTGGGCCAGTTCTTTTGTATGGTAAGGGCCGTGAGATGCATGGAACTAATGAATAGTAGACGACAGAGGTTGAGGATGAGATGATCTTCAATTGAGATTGTAATATTCTCTTGGAGTAAGGCGAACATCATGACTTGTGTGTCACAATGAGCAGAGATAGTTATTGTGAGAGGGAAGCCTGTGAGACGTTTTGGGGTATGAAATAGGTAACCTTGGAGGTTCATTTGTTGGGTCGGGAGCTGACCTGGTGCTTAGTGTTGAAAGGGATAATTGAGGGGATGCTGGGGTATGAATATTAGATGTCAGAGGATTCTTCTGAGTGAACACGATCATTTTCTTGTGTCTGCGTATAGGGTGATGAGAGACCATTGTTCAAATGGGTTCTGTTAGCAGTATAGTAGAGGGGCCCGGTGAAATGTAACCCTTCTATTCCTCTGGAGTATGATCTGGATCGACTAGTATATTTAGTATGAGTGATCAGTAGCCAATTTTTGGGCATTGACTTGTTTCTATCAGTCGCAATGAGAGAACCAGGGGGACGGTGAGCTATTGAGATTTGTTATTCGAGGAGCGGGTAACATGGTGATATCTTGAGAGGGTGGTCTGGCAGTGAGACAGGCCACTAGAGTTTCCAGTTTCTTGGAGTCAGAAGGGATATCGTAGCAGCAAAGGGGTCTGCCCTTTTCAGGGTTGGGAGTTCCTGTTGGGATTCGGGTGTCTATGGAGGGAGGTAGATGTGTGGGATGAGATCCTTTCATTAATGTTTTCTGGTTATTAGGATTCGATGCATGTGTTGTTGAGGAGCGATTTCGAGGGTGAAATCTAATTCAAGTGGGGGAGAATCATAACATCCAGACTCCCAGTATATTATTTCATGAATTAATGTTGAAGGTTTATTGAGTGACTCGACGGTTGTGAGCCTAACTCGTCGGGTAAAGTCGCGGTTTGCCACATGGGATTAGTGGTCTATTAGACGAGTCCGAGAGCCAACTCGCCAAGTAGACGCCGTGTGGTGAAACCCTAAATCCCCAGGTCTGGGGACTATTTAAGGGCACTTATAGCCCCATATGCGACTCACTAGTTACCTTTCACCGTTGAGAGAAAACCCTAATCGTCATTAGAGCTAAAGAGTGAGAGAATAGCTAGATTGGTGGTTGTTTGTGCATTCTTTGGAGGAGAAGTGAAGAGTATTGAGGTTGGGGCAAGAGGAGGCTTTGGATACTCATATTCAACAGACTTTACTTGAGGTAAAAAATGATGACTTGCTCTTTTCTATGGAGATTTTGTTATGAGAAGTTTTTTGGGGTTTTCTTCCAATTGTTTGAGTCATTGAGCCTTCTTTCATATGATTTGAGGTTGAAACCTCAGATCTGAAGTATGGAGGGTCTTATGAGCCCAAAGACCTGAACTTTATTAAGCTAGAGACTAGACTTTGGGCACCAAACCCTTCAAGGGCTTTGTATTGGCATTTTGAGGCATTTATGCCATGCATGAACATAAAGGTCAAGACTTTATGTAACTTTTGTGTCTTAAAGGGCTAGATCTAGGGTTTCAATGATAGATCTGACTTTGGATGTCTGAATGGGAAATCAGATCGAAGGAACTCGCCGAGTCTATAGGTTGCCTCGACGAGTCGGTGAGGGTTTGTCCCGATAAGCTTGATCATGCGATAACTCGGCGAGTTAGGGGTAAACTTGACGAGTTGTGCTGAACCTTTATGAGACTTCTGAGGATGCGAGTAGAGTCGACGAGTTGCATGAGTGCACTCGGCGAGTCGGTTCAAACAAGGACTGTTAACTCGAGTTGACTTCTGTTGACTTTAGGGTTGGGTCAATCGTGAGTAATGGAGACCAGGGAGGGGTAAAATGGTCTTTTACCCACTTCCCGAGTAGAGAGAGAAGGAGTAACCTTTTGTTTAACTAGAATTGAGAATTCGAGTATTGATTAGAGATATTTACCCTATGTGTTAGGCGGTGGCTAGGTCGAGATTCAATTATGAGGATAACTGCTTACTTGCTTGCTTCGAGATGAGTCTTCTCACTATACTATGAGTAGTGATCTACGTGTGACCAGAGTATCTTATGTGCCTATATTAAGTGTTGCAATATCCTGCATTATGTCTTTGTGATTTATGCTATATATTATGTTGAGCTTACAGGGTTAGGATTGTATGGGACTAGAGGGTCCCACTGAGATACATTGACCGGAGGGTCTTACAGTGACATAGCCTCGAGTGGCTAATGAGCTGAGTGGGTGCTATTTTAGGGAACTCACTAAGCTTCGTGCTTTCTATGTTGTGTGTTATGTGTTTCAGGTTTTTCTTAGGATCACGGGAAGGCACCGACTTGATTGTACACACTAGTGATGAAGTTTTGTTTCGAGGATTCTTAGTTAATCAAACAATTATGTAGTTGTTATTTGTAATTTAAATAAACGAGACTTTATGAAATGTTTTCTGAGAATTATATGATTTTAAATGAAAATTTTATTTGAAAATTTACGGTGTTACAGTGCGAGTCTAATGAATGTCAGGCAGGGAGTGATGTATATTTGATATGTATGGTATGTGGTATTTTTGGTAACTCACTAATCTTTGTGTGTTTACAGTTTTTATTGTTATGGTTTCGGGTACTTACGGTTCGAAAGGGAATGATCCGACTTGATCGTAGCACGTCCATCCATGTTTCCGCAACTTTATGAATATAGGATTCTACCCTGGTAATTATTTTTACTAGGATATACTTTTGAATGATTGAAAATGATAAATGGTGTATGGTTGAATTTTATAAATAAAAATTTTACCTTATAATTTTTGAGCCATTAGTGGCAAAATTGATTCATTTTGATATTTACTTGGTCAATTAAGTTAACTCAAAAAAAAAAAAAAAAACACTATTTTGGTGTTTAGGGTAGATATACATATCACGATTAGTGATGTTTAGGACTTTTGCATTTTCTTCGTGATGGATCTTCCTTTGGTCCTTTTAATCATCCATAATTTGTCAATGATATTCTCAACTAAATTTGAACATATGGACCTTGTGCAATGTTGAAAAGTGGAAACTAATATACTTAAGGATAAAAACCAAATTTATTTGCAAAAAGTTGTGATTCAATCTAAAATACTATGTCTATATCGGCCCTCTAGTTGGCTGAAACAATAATGCCATCCTGACTTCCTCCATGATTTCTTGTGATTTCTGCAATATGCTAATGCTTTTTTGAAGCCTCACCCTCTCTTTTCCGGAGGAGGATAGTTCCTCCGACATCTTTTCTATACCACCATGTACCATCGCCTCCTTCACCATCTCCATTTCCATCTCCTTGTTCACCAATTTTTTCACCAAAAACTGAAGCTCAAGTGCCATCCAATCCACCATTCTTTTCAGAACAATTTCCCAGTAACACGTCATCCTCATTTTTAAATCAAATGCTTGATCCCTTGTATTTCCGGGGACACTAAACAGATGCTTAACATTGATCTTATCATGACCTTCCATGTTTATCTCCTCCACATGATTGCACATTGCCTTCAAAAACTCATCACGATTTCCCATGAGCTTGTAATTGCAAGAAGCAACAAAATTAGGGTCACAGGTATAATCTGTGGTTTTTTCCATCTCTATCATTTCTACAACTCTTCCTAAAAACTCAATCTTCATTTTCTCCATTACATTCTGAAGAGCTTCCCTCATGGATGAAAGCAGTTGTGGATAATCTCCATGATGATCAATCAAGACTCTAACACAAACAATTTCAAGATAATCCCACACTTTTTTTACAAAGTTAATGGGAAAGGTAGAGATATTGATGAGTTTTGTCTCGAGCAAACATAAGACAGCAGAGTGAGGAACGAAAAGTGACGACCAGATCCCATTAGCTTCCATTAGAACATCCAACTCCTCAACTAGGAAATTTTCAGAGAATTTGACAACCGAGTTGAGTTTTTTTGAAAATTCATCTAGCATTTCAACCAACCGCGGATTGCAATGCATTTGTTTTTCGTCAATGTACTCATGATCGTACTCACCTTTTATCAAGATATTTTGAAGAGTTACCTTGAACGACCCAACGATATGCATAAAAGCAATCAATGCATCAGGAATACTCATAGAGTTTTTGGGTAATTGGTTCAGCTCCAAATCCAGAGCATAAATCCCCTCATTGATCTTCTTGACGATGTCTGGAAGACATCTCAATATGATTACTAAATGAATTTTTGCAAGCCTAGTGGCCAAAGCAGGAATACCCACCATGGACTTTTCAATCTTTGACAACAAATGAGATGATTCGAAGAGTGTGGTTTCTTGAATTCGAGCTTCCTCATGGGTTTCATCGTTGATTCTGTTTCTGATAAAGTGATAGCGGTTGCGAATCTTGAATTTATTTTCTGAAATGGCTTTACTAAGATCAATGTTATGGTACTCGTCACATTTGGTAATGACTGCAAGCGTCCTCTCTTCTCTGGTGTCCACTCTATGTGACGTGCGAATAGATGGGAGTCTACTGCGCGCAGAAGAAACATTTAAAATGATACTCTCCTTTGGGTTTATATACCCCTTGGTGATATCTGAAACAATTAAAACAAAATCTCCCCAAACTTACACTTAGATTTTAAGCTTATTTTTTGGCTTTTGTAAGTCACACAATGTAAATTTTCTTTACGTTGCATTGTTATTTTTTTAACAAAAGCATTTACGACTCTATTACTTATGAAAATACAAGCAGATGTCAGCGTTACATATTTTTTATTTTTTAGAAGTAGCATGTGCAAATTATGCATTGCAATTAGCCATATACCTTTTAAAAACCGCCCAAGACGATTCATACATGATAGTAATATAAGACCTTTTAAGTTTTGAATTGTTGGAGATGAAACATATATATATTTTCAGGTAAATAAATAGAAATGCCAATTGAAATTGTATGAAATTATTTAGAATCACACCGAGGAAAAAAGGTACCTGAGATATGTTCGAAATTGTCTCTCGACTTATCTTCGGACGTGGAATACCAATATTTTCCGGGCCAATAAGTTATGGTGAGATTCGGAATACCTTTCTTCTTCACTAACAAAGTTAGAGGTACATTCGGTATAGTTTTACCTATGCCGGCGATCTCTAATGTAGCCTGATTAATTGCTTCGGATATTAGCGTTTCCTTCATGATCCGAACAGACTTTTTCTGATACTGCAGTACGAACTCCGGTGCAGGATTCTGATGGTTTTGAAGCCTCATTATAAGAGGAACCTTTGAACAGGCCTCCCGTGCAAATGGAGGAAAAATGCCGACGAGTGACTCTATAACGCTTGCTTTGCCCGAGTAATTTTCTCCTGCAACAATGATGGTGGGGTCTGGGATGCCTTGTTCGATGACTTTAAGGCTGCGGAGCTTGTCGATGGTGTCAATTATGGGACGTATCTTGTCATTGTATGATGAAAAAAGAGGGGGTGAAATTGATGTGGTGCCCTGGTTGTTATCAGCCATCGGCCATGACAGACGCATGGAAACGAGTGAGAAGATGATCGGGACGGACGTTGTTAAAAATATTTTTCCTAAACAAGAAAAAAAAAAAAAACGAAATTTAAGGGCGTGATTGAACTTACCTTTTCAAAGCGAGTGTCAAGGAGAAAATATGATAATATGTTTATGTTTATATTTGAAAAATTAGGTTTAAACACCTAAAAATCACAACTTAAAAATTTATCATTATTTATAATTCAAATCTTAATTAATAAAACTTTTTTTAATTATTTTTTAACTATTAAATATATAGTTTTTACGAGCAAGATTATAATTTATTTTAAAAATAAATATATGAACCATTATGAATATAATTTTTAAGATTTGTGACTTTAAATATTTTATAAAATCATGAGTTTGTACCATTAAGGAAACATTTGAGTAAAATGAAAAAAAAAAACACAATAATCCATAAAAATGAAAATGAAAATAAATGACTAATACTAGGATCAAGACTTTCGCTTTGATGACTCATTTAATTATCTAGGTCAAAATTTGTTTTATTAGAACATAATTTAAATAATAGTAAAGAACTTGATTTATATTTTTTTTAAACGTCGACTTTATTCGTGTTTTTTTTTTCGTAATAAAATCACAACCATTAATCAACATAATCAAATTAATTTGTAAACAAATAACATATATAAAACTTGATATTTAATATGATATTAATGAATATATATATATATATATATATATATATATATATATATATATATATATATATATATATATATATATATATATATTTTGTAACGTCCTGAATTTCAACCATAAATTTTCTATTTTATTCAAAACATTAATTAAAGTATATAAATAAAAGTTATTAAGTGCGAAAATCTCCAATGAATGTGATCAAATCAAGTCGCGCCCTTCCTTTAATATAAGAAAACCTGCAATATTTAAATATAAAATCATAAACACAAAGTTTATCGAGTTCCCTGATATACCACATACCATACATAACATAAATAACAAGTGAATGTTGGGGTCCTCCCACAAATGTAACATCCCGAAAATATTAAGTGAATTTTTTTGTTTAAACTCAACCATATATAATTTATCTTCGTTACTGGTGAGAACGTTTCCTTATAATCAATTCATTGAGTTTGAATAAAACCTTTTGCACCAACCTAGCTTTAAATGTGTGCACATTCCCATCCATGTTGGTCTTCTTCTTAAAGATTCTTTACAACCTACAGTCTTAAGAATAGGTGTTGGATCAACCAAATTTCATACTTTCTAATCCATCATGGACAAAATTTCGTTGTACATAACCATTTTCCATTAAGAAGCCTCAGGGCCTACCATTGGTTTTCTATAGTTAGTTGGCTTATCCATGTTGACTAGTTTTCTATCACTTATCAACATGTTTCCTTCCATCACTATATGGAAACTATAAAACTCGAAGGGATTGTTAACCCTATCGGATCTGCGAAGAATTAACGATATGTCATTTGGCTCAAAGTTCTCAACCGTTGATTGAGTGCAGTGTAAACTATAGGTTCAATGTCGGACAACTCTTAAATTTCCTCAAGGTCAATTTGACTGATATTTACTTCTTGAGATATAACTTCTCTCTTAAGGAACACTCATTTTCGAGCAACAAACACCATGTTTTAATAGCTCTATAAAAAATATTCAAAAGCCTTTTGTGGATAACCGACAAAAAGACACTTCTTAGATCTCGATTCATTTTTATCTTGGGTTTTGCACCGAATAAAAACCTTACAACCCCATACCTTAATATGATTGAGTGAATGAAAGATTTCAATCCACATCTCATGAGGTGTCTTTGAAACCTTCTTAGTTGCTATAAAGTTTAAGATATAGGCTGTTGTTTCAAGTGCATAACCCGAAAATGTTATTGGTATTGAAGTTCGACTCATCATTGATCAAAACATACACAATAGAGTTCAATTTCTCCTTTTTGCAACACCATTAATTTGTGGTGTTCTTGGAGGAGCCATTTATGAAACGATTCCACAATCTCTAAGATGCTCCTTGAACTTGATACTATGGTACTCTCATACCATGTAGGATCGAAGAACCTTTATCTTCTTGCGAATTGATTAGCTACTTCTTTCAGATACTCTTTGAACTTTTCAAAGGTATCTGACTTATATTTAATCAAATAAACATAACCATATCAGCTAAAATCATCAGTAAATGTAATGTAGTAGCGTACATCGTCCCTTATAGTGCATCTAAAGGGTCCACACACATATGTGTATATGAGATCCAACAATCCTTCACTTCTTTCTCAACTCCATGTGAGCATAAGTCACAAAGATAGGATGCGTAATAATACATATCACAGTATAAGCAAATAAGACACTTTGGTCAATAATGTAATAAGACCCTCTGGTCAATAGTTAGGACCCTCCAGTCTCACAGCTCAGGTGGGACCCCCCGGTTACACAGCAATTACCACGTAGGTAAGTATAGTGAGAAGACTCACCTTCCAGAGTAAAGCAATGTATTCAACACTCCACTTGTTAGTCTAATCTCCACTCCTCCATTGCCTCCAAAATCCACAATTAACCAAAACCCTAAAGTCAACGGAAGTCAACACTCAAGTCAATAGTCCATGTTGACTCGACTCGCCGATTACAGCTCATGAGCTCGTTAATTCCCTCAGAACTCAGTAAATCGTGAAAACCCAAGTCTACTCGCTGAGTTTCTAGCCAACTCGTTGGGTCCATACAATGTTCAAAAGACCATGAAAACCCCACCTACTCGTCGAGTTGTATCATCAACGCGTCGAGTTATCTCACCAACTCGCTGAGTCTATAACACGTCTAAACCATCGGGGTAAACCCTAACCGACTCGTCGAGTTGGCTCATCAACTCGTCGAGTCCCTTAAGTCCATTTTCTCATTCAGACGATTTAAGGTAGAACTACAACCCCAAACTCTAGATCTAGCCTCCCAAGGCTTAAATACCACGTAAAGCTACAAGCTTTACGTCCATGCATGAGATCTAGGTCTCGAAATGTCAAAACAAGCTCTATATAGGGTTTAATGCATAAAAGCCTTCCTCTAGCTTGATAAAGCTTGGATCTTTGAGCTCATGGGACCTCATATAGCTCAGATCTGTAGTCTTAACTTCCATGACCAACTCAATAACTCAAAACCAAAAGATGGATGGGATAAAGCCCTACAACTCCCTAGAAAGAGATCTAATAAAAAAATGATCAAGGAGATAGCTTTTTACCTCCAATCAACAACTAGCACTGAAGGGACACTGGATAGAAAGCTTATTCTCCTTCCAAAACTCCTTTCTCTTCAATCCTCTTCCAAAAATGCACTAGAATGCATAATCTTAGCCTTCCTCTCTCTCACAAATGACTACAACTCGTATAGGGTTTCTCTTAGTATGTCTAAATGATCATGGATGCAGAAATGAGGGATTAAGGTTCTTTAAATAGGACACAAACTCGGGGAATTAGGGTTTCACTACACAGACTCAAGTCGTCGAGTCTATCCCATCGACTCGACGAGTAGGCTTCATATCCTGCAAGGCCAGCTCAGCTCCTACACGATGAGTCGGGACGAACCAAATCGTCGAGTAGGTCCTACAATGTGCATTATAACTCTCAAGTTTCACGTCCAGGATTCGGAGTGTTATAGTGTCACAAAATATGAAAAAAAAAATAGGTTTCTTGTTAACCAAAATAATGTAAACAAGAGTTGATGTGCTTGTAAATACGAATCCGTCTAAATAAAGAATGTTGATAACATAGCTTGTTTGAAGAACTTATGGATTTCGCAAAGTCATTTCCAATGTAATCTTTACATACTGTAAAAAGAAAATAAAATGTGAATTAGAAAATGAAATCTAAAAAAAATTGCATTACTTGCTCATACGAATCTATGGATATAAAGAACATCGAAAACAATGCTCGTATACGATAGTTGTGATTTTTCGAAAAAAGCGAAATTTTACCCGTTCATGCGACGCGGCTCCACCACATTTCAACATGTGGCACCACGGGAGACGAATCCTCCCTCGTTATCTGGACAACATGTAGCACCAATAGATTCAGGACACTAGGGCGCAACACACCCTACACATAAGCGTGGTACATCTTTTGAGAACACTTCATGCTTATTAATTGAAAACCATTTCCTTCCTAACTCTTTTCCAATTCCAATTTTTTCTCCTTAGAACCCCTTCCCGCACCCACGAGGCTTAACTTCCCGAGTTGTGAAGTATTCATAGTGAGGCTCTACAATGACATAAGACCCGTCAGAAGAAGTAGTAGACAATAAAATTTTGCCCGCAACTTTTCAAACTTTTTGTAGATAACCCTATAAGTTAATCTGCACTTACTATGATTTTAATTGTATCTTATATTTAAGTTCATGGCCATTAATATGAACCTATAAATAAGATTTATCAGTAATTCCAGTTGTTATACTAATTGATCTACTTATGGGAGTGATGTCTAGGCAGGGTCTTACTGAGGTGTTTGAAGTGGATTTTCTGAACAATATATTTATATACCAAATTGAACCTACCTTCATTGTGATCTTATCCGGTCATCCCTTATTTAATAGTACTCGGTTTTTCTTGAGATTAATGAGGAATAAAAAATACTGTTATTATAGTTTCAATGAATGAGAACAAAGACTAAGAATTAGTAATAACTGTATTTAGGTCATTTAAAAAGGAATGCTAAAGTGTTAGGTGAAGAAATAAATTTCCCACAAACCATCCACATTTAACAAAGTGAGTGCATAGTTACTTTCATCTTACACATAGATACAAAATGATTCAACTACTTAACTATTATATACGTTTATTATCTATACTTATAATACTTTTTTTAGATATAGTAGCTTGATTTGATTTATCCCTATTTAAATTATATATTATTGAATTTATGGCTTATTTTATTATCATACTTAAATTATATTGGGTAGTGAAGGTTTGTGAAATATAAAATAATAATATGAGTCTATAAACAACATTGCACT